GACCACTAATTTACTTAACCCCTCGCCGCGGGGCTTGGACCACTTCAATTTACTTAAACCCTCGCCGCGGGGGGCTTGGACCACTTCAATTTGCTTAAACCCACAATCTGTCTCGGCCCTTGGAGCCCTGGGCCTGGGGACGGGGCCGAAGCGGAGGGTTTTGCTCAGGGTTTTTGCGGGGTTCCATTTTAAGGAGATGCACTAAATATCCAAACCGGTGCATATTCTGGGCTGCGGGCTTCCGGAATTATTGTTGCGACTGTTGGGTTCAGGATCTTGTGAATCGGGCGTGCCTGCAAAATTCTTGGGTCAAGAACATCACAGATTTGCAGACCTGCCTTCTTCCTGGCCCCTTCGGCCTCTTGGAGGAACTCCCCGTGCTCTTCACCAGCCTCCTGAGGTATCAGGTAAGAGCTTATGGTTTCGCAAGGGTCTATAGAGGGCTTCGAGTCCAGCGTTTAGGGTCATAGCCCTAAGCTTGCGAGAAGCCCTGGGGCCCGGAAGCTCTAAACCCGAAAGGCCCCGAAAAAAACTCAACGCCCGAAACTCTGATCGCTTGGATAAGGGCTCGGGCAACGGCTATGGCAGGTCTAAACAGGCATTCGGACGTTGGGCCTGTGCATGGAGATAGGTTTCAAATCCGATGAACCTGAAGTTGGGTCTGGTGTCTAGGGTGTGCCTGGAATCTTCCAACATGTCCCAATTAGCCCTCAGCACCTGCGACCATGAAGGCCGCAAGCATCACGCGCATGGCTGCCATCTCGCAAAACGCCTCTGCGCTTGGGTCGGGACTCAACTTTGCTGCCTCAAGCCCAGCTTTGATTGGAGAAGCGCTCTTCCAACTGAAGCACGACACTCCAATCAGCATCAAACTCCTTCACCGAACGCCTTTCTAGGAAACTATAACCACCTGCCAGATCATCCAGCTCTTGCTCGAATAGGTGCATGGACGACAGACCCTGTGCGGAATGTGACTGCAACGCATGGATGATCTGCCCATGGGGGGCGGTCTTTCCGCATCTTCCGACAATCATGACTTAACGTCCGTGACGGCCTGACAACCGCGAAGCCCTGTGCTGGCTCTTTTCGCACTGCGATGCCAGCGCTCCGCACCTTCTCCGAAACCTGTTACAAATCTGAAGGCTCTGAGCCATCCTGGGCTGGAAGGCTTGAAGGGAAGCTCTGACCTTCCAGCATCTTACAAGTCTTTATCAAAGAACACTTTGATCAAAGCACGTTCTGCGGCATGCCGTGCAACACATTGAAAGTCCATCCATCAGGCATGGTCTTTCAGCATCCGCCGGAAAAATGACACAGACAAAATCGCAGATGCCTCTGCTGATGAACAAACTGTAGGCACAAGGCCTTCCTGGACCGGAATGAAAAAAAAAAAAAAAAGGGGGGCAAGCGGCTAGTCCTTGGCCTACTGCCCTACAGCAACCTTCCAGCACCTTACAAATCTTGCTTAAAAGCCGCAGAGATTACAAGACCTTCGCGGCGTGCAAAACACGGAAAAGTACTCAGACAGTGAAAGTACTGCTAGCTGCGAGCTGGCATCCATGAGTAGCGCATGGCCAGCGGGGGGCTTTGACTGCTACGACGCAGCAGCCCAGAGAGATCCGTAAACGTGGGCACCGTGGGGCTTTCGACGAGAGAAGCGTAGCTCTTTCAACTGAAACTGGGAGTCATGATACCCGTCAGGCCCAGGCGAATAAGCGGAAAGAGAGATCTCTGAACAGCTCTACAGGACGTGACCCCGACTGTACATCCCAAGACTTCAGTTTCAACACTCGAGCTTCTCATCCTTCTCGGCTTGAAGGCCGATGGTCGTGGGCTCTTCCTCACGGGCGGTCTTCAAGGCCTCATCTTCCAAGCGCCATTTCTCGACCATCTTCTGCATCTTTTTCTTAGCGTGCCACACCATGAGGCTGACGATAATGGTCGCCACGACCCAGTACAAGATGTAGGCGATAATCTCGATAGGTGTTGCCTGATCCTGCCAACCGAAGAGAGCCCTCATCAGGACGAAGAATCGATTCGTCTTATCGTTGCAGCACACGGTGGCATCCCAAACATTCACGTTCTGCCAGGGCCGCTCGGATCTTGGACTCCATGTGCCGAAAACATCCAGCTCCTGGAGCTGGTGCATGGATGCCGAGAAGAAGCCGGCCGCGATACACATGAGCAATACAGCCGAAACCCGCATGAACCAGTCCACTTTCAGACCCTTTGTTCCCTGGAAGAAACAGCACCCGACAAGCCGTGCCAAGACCAGGGCGCTGATGATCGGCAGGGGCAAGGCACTGAGATCCTTAACGTCCGAGATGACGCCCACGAGGAACACGATGGACTCTAAGCCCTCGCGAAGACCCGTGGTGAAGGCCAAGACAAAGAAGGCATGCTTCTTGCCAAAAGCCACCTCCCCCCCATCTGTAGCCGCCTGGGTCGCTTCGAGTGTCTCCTCCATCTGACGCTTCATCTTCCGCTCGTGGGCCTCCTTGGAGTAGATCATCTTGTAGAAATTCACTGCGAGGAAGGTCAGCACGATGCAAGTGAGGCTCATCATGCAGAACTGGAAGATGCGCTCGTTATCGCCATCAAAAAGCTGGTAGGTCAAGGATGCCAGAGCCAGGAAGCCCACACCGAAGAGCAGGCAAAGAGCAAAGCCCAAGGAGGCTCCGAGGTAGACCTCGCGGCGGAACTTGTAGAAGAGACCCACCTCAAGGAGGCCGTCGTTCTTCATCTTGGTCAGGAATTGCATGATGATGGCTAGGACAATCACGACCTCCAGGCTCTCACGGAAGAGGACGACGAAGGCAGGCACCGAAAAGTACAGATTTGCGGGTGCCAGCCTCGGTGCTGCGACCGTGATGTTATCACGCAGGCCCGTCGCCTCGTCAACGCAGTCGCACACCTGGATCCACTCCACGTGCCTGAATACTTGAAACCACAAGACGGGTGAACGCTTAAGCATGTCCAGGGACAGACAAACTAGGCAGAAAACTGGTTGAGCCCCGGAAAAGCCACAAGATGCCACAAGCATTCACAACGACAAGATGCCCGTAGATCTCAGCACAAGCCATGTTGGTAAGCCCTGCGTGGCAAGCTTCGTCCTCTTCATCATAGCAGCCCCACTGGCAAATCTTGCCCGTGGTATTTGGCATAGCATGGCAAAGCCACAGAGACGACGCTCCCAGCAGCAGCGCACGAAGCATGCTTGCGAGGTTAAGAACTGCTAAGTTGAAAGTCCCAACGTGCTGAAACTTGAGCCTTGCAACGGTTGAAGCATCGGAGATCTTAACGTTGACTGCGGGCATCTGCGAGATTCTGCGAGCAATGTGACTCTGCCCCGTGGCCTGCTTGCCGGAGTGCCGCGCAAGGATGTGGCACTGCCTCTCGTTGCGGTGGTGTTTTACTTGTACCGCATACAACGCCAAAGGATGTGTGGGACTATGCGTCACTGGTGTATACCGGGAGATTTGTCACCTTTGACGGACGAAGTTGCCGTCAATCGATATTGTGTATTCGCATTGTCTAGTCGTGTTTTGGGTTTCACCATTGATGCGCCCCTTCAGTTTCTCAACACGCGTAGCATGCAACTATGGGCTCTTTGTTCGAAGAAGAAACGAAGGTGCTATGCTGCTATGCTCGGTTTCAATATATTTTCTTTTTGTTTCGACGAGGTGCATAGTACATGGGCAACTCAGTAGGCACGCAGTCACTTGGAAAATCAAAAGGCAATGGAAAAACGGGACACGAACTCTATAATGGTGGTGGCTTCGAGAAACGCAGGCGCGAGAATGCAGGGCAAGGCTGTGCCCGGGATCGGCTGGCACTGCTGCCCTTCTGGGGCTCCTACCAAGCAATTCTGCCCCACCCGCCACGGCGACACACCTGGTTCTTGCCAAGGCACACGGCCAGTGCGGGTCGGGCCACATGCATGTCCTCGACGGCTCGAAGGTCCACAGCAGAGTCTCGGGGCGTTGTTTCTCGATTTCGCTTTGTCGTGCTGTCGCCGCGATTCGGCAGACTTTGAGTCAACCAGCCCGGAAGCCCCTAGCTGTGCTCCCATGGTGGCATTGCGCCGAATGTTTCCCAGCACCTGCAAGACCGGAACAAAAAGGATTACGCCACCCACTAGTGGAAATGCACACTGTACACCTGCGCAATTCATCGTTGGTTTGGAGTTGGAGGAGAGACCGAACGGAGCAATGTTGCGCTGGTCGTGCAAAACAGTTGGCAACGTACTTGGACAAGATGCCAGAGACACTTCAACGCAGCACAAGCGGACCAGCTCCGAAGCAGGCCGTGGAGGAGCAGGGCAACGGCAAGGGAGGGTTGTGTGATCAAGGCAGGAAGACTGGTAGACTGATAGACCTTCCCCGCAAAGGGTTTGCAATTGTCGTCAGCAAGGGGAACCGCTTCCTGGCGACGCGGTCCTGTGCCACGCCTTGTCGCATGAGCCTGACCCCCCGAAGCATGCCAGCACGGGCATTAAGACGGCTACTCTTGTCTTGATACGAGTACTCCGTGCCGTTGTAAGAGCTCGGGTGCCAATATGTCGATAGGCATGTGACCCGCTCATCGTCCAAAAAGATGTTAAGACACCCAATGACTGGCATGCCCCATCTTTTCGTTTGTACAGACTCTCCTGCACTCCTCTCATGCAGTACGACCTTGTGTCGCGAAAATCCAACAGATCCACGCCACTGCCGTTGGTGCGCTCCCCACCACACCTCCAGATTTATCAAACTTTGTCAGAATCAAGGTTGAAATCGCTCACCAATCACCGCGATGTCCCCCGAACAAACGCACCTCTTAGCAGGCGAAGTCTCTTTGTCGGGCGCTGGAAATTGGAGCCGTATGCAGCTTCTAGCGAATCTAGCGACTGTCCCGCAGTGTGGTTATGACATGGCGCCCGGGTTTTGTGACTTGCAGGCCAAAGCTCGATGGCCTAGTGGGCGGAACCACGATATGCAATCCGTCTGTTTTGGACAGAACATCCGCTGCAATGGGTCCCATGTGCAGTTTTCGGCAAGCTCGAGGATACGTTGAGCTTTTTCAGGGATGTACGGAACGCCGGTGCTTCCGTGCCGACAAACATTCCATCGATTCGCAGATGCTGCCACGACGGATTTCTCTGCGATGCCGGTCACAAAGAGGGTACGAAGAGGTGCTAGGCAGCTGTGTCTGCGGACTGCCACTCATACCCTTCAGGAGCTACCGCCAGGAGAGTTCGAGTCAAAATGTTTAAAGAACACGTGTGAGGAAGGAGTCTAAGTGGTGTAGTGCGCAACCGTGAGCCTCAGAAACCTATGACTCTGCGAACAAAGAAATTCGAGACCATCGTCTCCGCGGCTTTGTGCGGAACCATGCGTCCCCGCCTCGCGAATCCCTCTGTGTTAAACACGATGGCAAGGTGACCATGGAAACGCACGACTCGTTGGACACTACGTGAAGACTCTGGGTCCCACCCTCGCCTTTTCAAATGACCGACAAATGACAACTGCATCGCGCGGGGAACACTGCAATGGCAATGGGTGAGCCCAGTATCAACTGTCACCGCATAAGATTAGAAGCCACGGACTCAAACCCTGGGGGCGATGTAGGTCAATGTAGACTGACCTTTTTTGGCTCGCAACATCCACAGGCACATATCTGTATAAAATTTCTTCAAGCCTGCCAGTGACCAACAAAAACAGCATCTGCACATCCAAAACTTCTCGGAACGGGCCTGACTGGAACGAAGCAAATGAGCTTGCGGCTTCTCCTCCCAATGCACGTACGTTACTTTGGAGTCCGTCAGACGGCCGTGCTTGAGAGCAGATCTTTTTGCAAGCATCGTGTCATCGAACTTAGAACAGCAAGTTCTTCCCACTCTCTGCAGCCCTTCTACCGGCTTTTTCGCACTGTGATGCCAGCACACTCCTTTCCCGAAACCCGTTACAAATCTGAAGACTCCAGGCCTTTCCGGACTGGAAGGTTTCCTGCAGCGACCTTCCGCCGCCTTACAAGTCTTTATCAAAAAGCACTTTGCAACGTATTGAAAGTCCATCCATCAGGCATGGCCTCTCAGGATCCGCCGGAAATCATGACAAAATCGCAGATTCTTCTGCTGATGTACAAATCTGAAGGCACTCATTAGGCCTTTCCGGACCGGAATGTTTGCTTAAAAACAGGGGAGCAGGCAGCTGGTCCCTTGCCTGCTTCCCTACAGCAACCTTCCAGCACGTTACAAATCTTGCTCAAAAGGTGCAAAGATGAAAAGACCTTCGCGGCATGCACAACACTGACAATCAGCCCATCGGGGAACTAATGTGCAAGTAACTAGCAGGGGAACCATCCAGGCACAGCATGTCGTGGTGCAATCGCAGAGAGCTGGCGATTTTTCACAGTCTCTCCCTACGTGGATCTGAGTACGAAATGGAGGATGTTCTCGTCTTCCCATTCGATTTCATTGTCAGGAATTCACATCTTCTTCCAGCTACTCAGACCCCGAAAAAACAAAAACAAGTCAAGGCGGCACTCAAGGCAGCAGACAGAGAGACGGACGGAGAGAAAGAAGTTTCGCTTGTCGTCTGTGTAGTTGTGGGCACTGCCTGACAGAGGGGCTCAACTTCGGTATACAAAATTGCCTAGAACCTTTTTGGCAGACAGCATCCAAGCAGGGCAGTCCTTGCACATGTCTGGATAAGCAGTTGAGCCACTCAGCAATGTGGCCGTGTTTCCTGTGTCGTCACCTCACACTGCCAGGCTACCGAAATGCCAAGAGGCCAGAAACAAACATCAGAAGTATACTGACCTTTACTGACTTATACTAACATATGGCTGCTGTACACACAAAACACAACACATTCCAGAAGCGAGTCACACAGGGAGGCCAAACAGCTGCCAGTTGCTGCATCCTTCCACGTGCCCACCATAGCGCAGGTGATGCCGAGGTCTGGGTACCTGAATGAAACATGACTAGCTCACAAGTTCAGACGTCAAGCAAGGGGCAAGAGACGACACAGACCCCCATAACTCATAACGAACAGAACAAATGCTTACTGTACAGATTCCTACGTTGTATTTTTGTATATTTTTGTTTTCCAAAGCACAGAGACTCCACCAGCGTCTTCACAGAGCAGGCCGTGCTCTCCGGTACGGTTGTTAAGTTTAGATCAAAAAGCGCATCCACCGCCTGCACGGTGGTGGCATTGAAGGTGGACATGTAACCGGAGGCACTCCTCCAGTAGGCCCAGCCCTCGGCGAGATACTTTGGCTCCATAGTGCCACCATTGTAAGCCTTCCAGGCGTACTTAATGGCGCTTCGGATGGCGGCAATGGAGAAGATCTTGTACATGGCTACCTCTGCTGCTTTCACATTGGTAGCATTGTAGGCATCTCCACGCAGGTTGATGAGGCCGTAGTTCAGAATCGGGACGGCCTCCGTGTGTGTCGAGGTGCCATCAGGAAAGTCGATGTCGCGCTTCCAGTTGAACTCGTAGGGCGAGTAGAGGTTGCCGGGGGCAGAGCCCGTGTAGCCATCGCCAATCACTGGATCGATATTGCCGATGTAGAAGGCAGCACCTTCGTCCCAAGCATAGGCTGCTTGAGTGTCCGCCGTCTCACCATTGTCACCCTTCCAAACAGCTGCACCGAACTCGTAGGTGGCGTAGGCCGTGACAACTCCAATGAGTCCTTTGTTGATGACGTACTGCCGGAACGAGTCCGTCTTCCCCTCGCACACGCCTGTCCCGTCCAAGCACGCGATAATGTAGTCGTGCCATACAGCATTCGTTGAGCCATACAAGCTGACGGCACCGCTGTAGAAAACCTTATGTCTCGGGGTGCAGATCCTTAAAGCAAGGGTCATGCACCCTATGCCCTCTAAAAGAGAAACACAACAAAGAACAACATGTAGTCCTCTTGGGGAGATGTTTAGGGGCCCTTGCGATTCTGCAAGGGGACGTTGGTGTACTTTCCATCCACGGTCATGTCCTTCTGCGCCAGGTCTTGCAGAGTTCGCATGTTCCCCAGCCCTTTGGAAGAGAAGTTGCCGGCGGTGTAAACCTGCTTGGCCATTGCGTAGTTCAAGGGGGTCTCAGCCAAGTACTCCTTGATCAGCTTCACGTCCCGATTGATGTCAGCGTGTTCCGTGACATCGTTGACAGGACAATAGAGGCCGTCAGAAAGTTTTGGACAAGAGTCCACGGGAGTGCAAGCTCCTGCCTCAGCACCTGCGACCATGAAGGCCGCAAGCATCACGCGCATGGCTGCCATCTCGCAAAACGCCTCTGCGCTTGGGTCGGGACTCAACTTTGCTGCCTCAAGCCCAGCTTTGATTGGAGAAGCGCTCTTCCAACTGAAGCACGACACTCCAATCAGCAGCAGACTCCTTCACCGAACGCCTTTCTAGGAAACTATAACCACCTGCCAGATCATCCAGCTCTTGCTCGAATAGGTGCATGGACGACAGACCCTGTGCGGAATGTGACTGCAACGCATGGATGATCTGCCCATGGGGGGACGGTCTTTCCGCATCTTCCGACAATCATGACTTAACGACCGTGACGGCCTGACAACCGCGAAGCCCTGTGCTGGCTCTTTTCGCACTGCGATGCCAGCGCTCCGCACCTTCTCCGAAACCTGTTACAAATCTGAAGGCTCTGAGCCATCCTGGGCTGGAAGGCTTGAAGGGAAGCTCTGACCTTCCAGCATCTTACAAGTCTTTATCAAAGAACACTTTGATCAAAGCACGTTCTGCGGCATGCCGTGCAACACATTGAAAGTCCATCCATCAGGCATGGTCTTTCAGCATCCGCCGGAAAAAATGACACAGACAAAATCGCAGATGCCTCTGCTGATGAACAAACTGTAGGCACAAGGCCTTCCTGGACCGGAATGTTTGCCGAACAAAAAAAGGGGAGCAAGCGGCCAGTCCTTGGCCTACCGCCCTACAGCAACCTTCCAGCACCTTACAAATCTTGCTTAAAAGCCGCAGAGATTACAAGACCTTCGCGGCGTGCAAAACACGGAAAAGTACTCAGACAGTGAAAGTACTGCTAGCTACGAGCTGGCATCCATGAGTAGCGCATGGCCAGCGGGCGGCTTTGACTGCTACGACGCAGCAGCCCAGAGATCCGTAAACGTGGGCACCGTGGGGCTTTCGACGAGAGAAGCGTAGCTCTTTCAACTGAAACTGGGAGTCATGATACCCGTCAGGCCCAGGCGAATAAGCGGAAAGAGAGATGTCTGAACAGCTCTACAGGACGTGACCCCGACTGTACATCCCAAGACTTCAGTTTCAACACTCGAGCTTCTCATCCTTCTCGGCTTGAAGGCCGATGGTCGTGGGCTCTTCCTCACGGGCGGTCTTCAAGGCCTCATCTTCCAAACGCCATTTCTCGACCATCTTCTGCATCTTTTTCTTAGCGTGCCACACCATGAGGCTGACGATAATGGTCGCCACGACCCAGTACAAGATGTAGGCGATAATCTCGATAGGTGTTGCCTGATCCTGCCAACCGAAGAGAGCCCTCATCAGGACGAAGAATCGATTCGTCTTATCGTTGCAGCACACGGTGGCATCCCAAACATTCACGTTCTGCCAGGGCCGCTCGGATCTTGGACTCCATGTGCCGAAAACATCCAGCTCCTGGAGCTGGTGCATGGAGGCCGAGAAGAAGCCGGCCGCGATACACATGAGCAATACAGCCGAAACCCGCATGAACCAGTCTACTTTCAGACCCTTTGTTCCCTGGAAGAAACAGCACCCGACAAGCCGTGCCAAGACCAGGGCGCTGATGATCGGCAGGGGCAAGGCACTGAGATCCTTAACGTCCGAGATGACGCCCACGAGGAACACGATGGACTCTAAGCCCTCGCGAAGACCCGTGGTGAAGGCCAAGACAAAGAAGGCATGCTTCTTGCCAAAAGCCACCTCCCCCCCATCTGTAGCCGCCTGGGTCGCTTCGAGTGTCTCCTCCATCTGACGCTTCATCTTCCGCTCGTGGGCCTCCTTGGAGTAGATCATCTTGTAGAAATTCACTGCGAGGAAGGTCAGCACGATGCAAGTGAGGCTCATCATGCAGAACTGGAAGATGCGCTCGTTATCGCCATCAAAAAGCTGGTAGGTCAAGGATGCCAGAGCCAGGAAGCCCACACCGAAGAGCAGGCAAAGAGCAAAGCCCAAGGAGGCTCCGAGGTAGACCTCGCGGCGGAACTTGTAGAAGAGACCCACCTCAAGGAGGCCGTCGTTCTTCATCTTGGTCAGGAATTGCATGATGATGGCTAGGACAATCACGACCTCCAGGCTCTCACGGAAGAGGACGACGAAGGCAGGCACCGAAAAGTACAGATTTGCGGGTGCCAGCCTCGGTGCTGCGACCGTGATGTTATCACGCAGGCCCGTCGCCTCGTCAACGCAGTCGCACACCTGGATCCACTCCACGTGCCTGAATACTTGAAACCACAAGACGGGTGAACGCTTAAGCATGTCCAGGGACAGACAAACTAGGCAGAAAACTGGTTGAGCCCCGGCAAAGCCACAAGATGCCACAAGCATTCACAACGACAAGATGCCCGTAGATCTCAGCACAAGCCATGTTGGTAAGCCCTGCGTGGCAAGCTTCGTCCTCTTCATCATAGCAGCCCCACTGGCAAATCTTGCCCGTGGTATTTGGCATAGCATGGCAAAGCCACAGAGACGACGCTCCCAGCAGCAGCGCACGAAGCATGCTTGCGAGGTTCAGAACTGCTAAGCAGAAAGTCCCAACGTGCTGAAACTTGAGCCTTGCAACGGTTGAAGCATCGGAGATCTTAACGTTGACTGCGGGCATCGGCGAGATTCTGCGAGCAATGTGACTCTGCCCCGTGGCCTGCTTGCCGGAGTGCCGCGCAAGGATGTGGCACTGCCTCTCGTTGCGGTGGTGTTTTACTTGTACCGCACACAACGCCAAAGGATGTGTGGGACTATGCGTCACTGGTGTATACCGGGAGATTTGTCACCTTTGACGGACGAAGTTGCCGTCACTCGATATTGTGTATTCGCATTGTCTAGTCGTGTTTTGGTTTCACCATTGATGTGCCCCTTCAGTTTCTCAACAGGCTTAGCATGCAACTCTGGGCTCTTCGTTCGAAGAAGAAACGAAGGTGCTCTGCTTGTTTTCAATATGTTTTCTCTTTGTTTCGACGAGGTGCATAGTACATGGGCAACTAAGTGGGCACGCAGTCTGTCTGTCTGCCTGCCTGATGTCTTGCGAACCTTGACTGGTCACACCCAACAAACCTTCAAAACAAGGGAGGTGGGAGTGTGAATGCCGGCTTCGCCTTGCCTCTTCGGCAGTCCGGACATGCATGAATGTTCGGCCGGACTAAAATGGCTTAAGCATGGCATGCACTAAGAATTTGAAGCATTTCCAAAATCGAAAGGCAATGGCGCATCCGGACACAAAGTTTGAATCCAGCACCCTGCAGCTCTTGCTCGAATAGGTGCATGTGAGTGCATGTGATTGCAACGCATGGATGATCTGCCCATGGGGGGACGGTCTTTCCGCATCTTCCGAAAATCATGACTTAACGACCGTGACGGCCTGACAACCGCGAAGCCCTGTGCTGGCTCTTTTCGCACTGCGATGCCAGCGCTCCGCACCTTCTCCGAAACCTGTTACAAATCTGAAGGCTCTGAGCCATCCTGGGCTGGAAGGCTTGAAGGGAAGCTCTGACCTTCCAGCATCTTACAAGTCTTTATCAAAGAACACTTTGATCAAAGCACGTTCTGCGGCATGCCGTGCAACACATTGAAAGTCCATCCATCAGGCATGGTCTTTCAGCATCCGCCGGAAAAAATGACACAGACAAAATCGCAGATGCCTCTGCTGATGAACAAACTGTAGGCACAAGGCCTTCCTGGACCGGAATGTTTGCCGAACAAAAAAAGGGGAGCAAGCGGCCAGTCCTTGGCCTACCGCCCTACAGCAACCTTCCAGCACCTTACAAATCTTGCTTAAAAGCCGCAGAGATTACAAGACCTTCGCGGCGTGCAAAACACGGAAAAGTACTCAGACAGTGAAAGTACTGCTAGCTACGAGCTGGCATCCATGAGTAGCGCATGGCCAGCGGGCGGCTTTGACTGCTACGACGCAGCAGCCCAGAGAGATCCGTAAACGTGGGCACCGTGGGGCTTTCGACGAGAGAAGCGTAGCTCTTTCAACTGAAACTGGGAGTCATGATACCCGTCAGGCCCAGGCGAATAAGCGGAAAGAGAGATGTCTGAACAGCTCTACCGGACGTGACCCCGACTGTACATCCCAAGACTTCAGTTTCAACACTCGAGCTTCTCATCCTTCTCGGCTTGAAGGCCGATGGTCGTGGGCTCTTCCTCACGGGCGGTCTTCAAGGCCTCATCTTCCAAGCGCCATTTCTCGACCATCTTCTGCATCTTTTTCTTAGCGTGCCACACCATGAGGCTGACGATAATGGTCGCCACGACCCAGTACAAGATGTAGGCGATAATCTCGATAGGTGTTGCCTGATCCTGCCAACCGAAGAGAGCCCTCATCAGGACGAAGAATCGATTCGTCTTATCGTTGCAGCACACGGTGGCATCCCAAACATTCACGTTCTGCCAGGGCCGCTCGGATCTTGGACTCCATGTGCCGAAAACATCCAGCTCCTGGAGCTGGTGCATGGAGGCCGAGAAGAAGCCGGCCGCGATACACATGAGCAATACAGCCGAAACCCGCATGAACCAGTCTACTTTCAGACCCTTTGTTCCCTGGAAGAAACAGCACCCGACAAGCCGTGCCAAGACCAGGGCGCTGATGATCGGCAGGGGCAAGGCACTGAGATCCTTAACGTCCGAGATGACGCCCACGAGGAACACGATGGACTCTAAGCCCTCGCGAAGACCCGTGGTGAAGGCCAAGACAAAGAAGGCATGCTTCTTGCCAAAAGCCACCTCCCCCCCATCTGTAGCCGCCTGGGTCGCTTCGAGTGTCTCCTCCATCTGACGCTTCATCTTCCGCTCGTGGGCCTCCTTGGAGTAGATCATCTTGTAGAAATTCACTGCGAGGAAGGTCAGCACGATGCAAGTGAGGCTCATCATGCAGAACTGGAAGATGCGCTCGTTATCGCCATCAAAAAGCTGGTAGGTCAAGGATGCCAGAGCCAGGAAGCCCACACCGAAGAGCAGGCAAAGAGCAAAGCCCAAGGAGGCTCCGAGGTAGACCTCGCGGCGGAACTTGTAGAAGAGACCCACCTCAAGGAGGCCGTCGTTCTTCATCTTGGTCAGGAATTGCATGATGATGGCTAGGACAATCACGACCTCCAGGCTCTCACGGAAGAGGACGACGAAGGCAGGCACCGAAAAGTACAGATTTGCGGGTGCCAGCCTCGGTGCTGCGACCGTGATGTTATCACGCAGGCCCGTCGCCTCGTCAACGCAGTCGCACACCTGGATCCACTCCACGTGCCTGAATACTTGAAACCACAAGACGGGTGAACGCTTAAGCATGTCCAGGGACAGACAAACTAGGCAGAAAACTGGTTGAGCCCCGGAAAAGCCACAAGATGCCACAAGCATTCACAACGACAAGATGCCCGTAGATCTCAGCACAAGCCATGTTGGTAAGCCCTGCGTGGCAAGCTTCGTCCTCTTCATCATAGCAGCCCCACTGGCAAATCTTGCCCGTGGTATTTGGCATAGCATGGCAAAGCCACAGAGACGACGCTCCCAGCAGCAGCGCACGAAGCATGCTTGCGAGGTTAAGAACTGCTAAGCAGAAAGTCCCAACGTGCTGAAACTTGAGCCTTGCAACGGTTGAAGCATCGGAGATCTTAACGTTGACTGCGGGCATCGGCGAGATTCTGCGAGCAATGTGACTCTGCCCCGTGGCCTGCTTGCCGGAGTGCCGCGCAAGGATGTGGCACTGTCTTGCCAGACGAGCTTCAGTCTCCTGGCTGAACAGGGAAGGCCCCACCTGTACTCGTTACGGCCATCGCTGGCATCGGTAACAGAAGATGTGACCACAAAACAGGCAAAGAGCATCGAAGAGCTAAGCTGTCCTTGAGTCTCATCTTGCGAAGGTGACACTAACATGCGAACTCGGACCCTGCGCAAGCCAAAAGCAAACATGTGGCCACGATGCTATTGGGTCTTTGGCCGGCCCTCTGTCTCTTTAGCAATTCACTCGCAACCACAGAAGTAAGTCAGCCGGCATAGCTTGTGTTTTCGCAACTACTGTGCAGTACGAGGAGCTGCAACTAAGCAAATCTAAGCAATGTGCTGAGCGATCTAACGATCTGAAGCGTCTGAAGCGACATTGAGTCCTGCTGTGTCTACCATGTCCCACTACTGGCACCAAACCCTGTGTTCAATGCTTTATGCTGCACTGGACCTGCGGAAGCCACTTGCCACAGCCAAGCCCTTGCATTGCTGCATCCTTCCCGCTGGAGGCCATGTCTCCGAGGCCTCAAGCTCTCGCATGTTGCCGGAACCCGACCAATGTCCACGGAGACAACTCATCTGTTGAGCCTTTCTAGTGAGATGTTCGCAGACATGGACTCTGGCAGAGTACGAAATCTGAATCGAATGGACTGGAGTTATGCTCCTGCACTAGCCAGTGCCTATCCGTTTGATGTGGGTCACCCCGTGTTCACACTAAACCCATTAAAAAAGAAAAAACACCATACTGTGCTATCGACAAATACGACAGGGCATCTGGGGTGGTGTCTGACAGGACAACAGCAGCTGCTTTTCTCTCCCTTTAGGGGTTCGTGCACAAATTTTGTGCCGGGCATAGGTTGAAGCAGCGTCAGTGAAGATTTCTCAAGCAATGAGTGTGGAAGTCCATTAGTCCATTGAGACAGCTCGGGTCTGGTGCTGAGCCCGAAAGTCTGTCAGTTGATCGCAGCTAGCAAGAAATCTAAACCACAGGGACGATGCGCAAAGCTGTGCAAGAAGCGAGCAGCAAGAACTACGACGTGGCAACTCTGCTCGCAAGAACAATCCTTTCCTCCTGCTTGCCCGCTTTTGTTTCGAAGGTGTCTAGTCATTTACTCTATGCCCCAGCTTCTAGTCTAGCAGCTTCTCGCATCTTGCGAAATCTGTTAGGGAACAGAAGGAAAAAGATGAGCACTTGAATGCGCTCTTTGACCATTCTGTTTAAGGCTGCTTTCACAGACGCATTAAAGACTTGCCCTTCAATGCCGTACACGAAACCACGCAATCCATCTGCTCTGTAGACTTTCATCGCCATCTCGAACATGTTGAGGGGCTCTGCAGCCACATCTCTTTTTTGGCACTCTTGCCGGTGCCTCGATCGTTTTGTCTGCGCTTGGCACATCTGCTTCACACGAGTCAGAGGATAACAAACTGTCGAGGCAATGAGCTTGCTGCCCAGCCCAAGCCAGAATGCCTGACCAGCCGTCAGTCCGATGCGAATGCTGTCGGTGTTCTTCCGGTTTGTTCGCCTCAGCCACGCATTTTTGATGGTGTCATAGATCGTGTCCTGAATCGATGCGTTCACGGACAGCAGCAAACAAGGCAACAGGCCTTTGTAGAAAGCTTTCAGGCCATCCTCCTTGTACATGCCCAGCGCCGTAGCCCAGTTGCTTCGTCGCTCAGTTTGCGTCTGCATCCTGGTAGAATGGTTCTGCAAGGGCAGCGTCGTGAGCTGCATAACTGCTCCTGCACGGAAACATCACTGTGATGACAACTCGCAGTTCGGAGACTGTTGGGCTCAAAAGTGCAGAGGTTGCCCTGGAACGGTTGGAACGACATCAGACATCAATCTCAGGCACAACCTTCTTGCACCTTCTTAGCGCCTGGAATCACGAGGGGTAATGAAGAGCGCAAGCTAGGGTACCAGGTTCGGTGTACCAGACCTCGAGGGTTGTGAGTTGTGGAGGTTGCGAAAATCGAAAATGGGCAGAAGTCGCACCAAGACGAGTCTACACACGACGAGCCCAACAATCAAATGTGATGGTACCAGACCTCATCAAATGGTGTTGCTAGCTTCTTTGTCCGGCGTCACGACACCGCGCGCTGGCTCCCTGCAATAAACTCCATGTTCAAGCATTTGCACACACACACACACACACACATGCGCGAGAGAGGCAGACAGCGGGTGGATCGCATCTGGTTCTGTTGTGCTCGCAATTCCTTGCCTGCATGTAGTGCTTGAAGCAGCAAATCCCTTCGATGCTGGCATAGACCATACTCACACAGACCCAGACGGAGACTGTTTTTGAGCAAGCTCCACGATCATTCAAAACAAATAAACATCATTACAGATGTGCCTGCGGTTCGTTAGAAAAGCGCCTCGGGACGTTTCGCTTAACCCGCCGAGGTCTGCCGAGCAATGATTTGTGCAACGCAAAATAATAACCTGAGGCGTATTCGGGCATGCCGAAGTCCTGCAGCGGTGGCAATTAGCATGTTGGCACGGTACGTTACGTGGCCAACAAGGCTTCGCCAAAGAGCCATGAAGGACTCGTAAAAGTAGTAGTACACGAAGTTGAAGACGAATTGGTCCTGCAATGCGTCTTGATGACGTGTCACGTGTGACAGTGCTCCGCACAGGCAGCATAGTGTTTTTATCCGGCAGTCCAGGCAGGTGCTCGGCCAGCCGGGTGCCCAGGGGGCCAGCAAAGCTTGAGAACCTTCCCTCTTCCAGGTGTAGTGCAGTGCCCGGAAGGTGTTGCCCATGGCCTGGCATGCAAAGGCTCCAGATGGCTCCAGTTCCAATTAGGCCTGTTCTGCATTCTTTGAAATACCGTGCTGAAACACTTAACTTTGAAATCGACAGGTCACATAATGGTTCAGAGGATGTCATTGAGATTCAGGGAGCTTGGGAAAAACTGAGATGCCTCATGCATGCTCCATTGCAGAACTAGTGCAAAGACACGCTTTGCCTGATGCTTCTCCTCATCGAAGCCCTCATCCGTACTTGCTTCTCCTGCGAAGGCCTGCACCTCCGCATTCAGGGAGACGAGGCAGTGCCACTTTGCGTCCACACGCCCAGCCTTCGTCTTGGTGACCTCCAATGGGTAAAGCACCGTCGTTGAGAAGAGCGCGCCGACACCGCCTCCGAGGGCTTTCACGAAGCCTTCGATCGCGGCCGCATCCATAGCGGCCAAGCGCAAGCCCTATAGGCCTCTGAACTGCTCACCTCCTGTGCTACGCTTCCGATGAAACGGCAATTGCTCAATACTGAAGGTGCCTTGGTGCCGCGAGTAGAGCCGCGGGACAGTTGTGGTAACTTCTCTCAAGCTTCCTCTTCCGGTCAGATTCTGCAGCCCCTGCAGTCGATCTGTAGCGGTGTTCATGTTCTCCTGCCAAACCGAACAAACAGGTTTTGATACAGACGACGCCAACAATGCGCTTGGATCCACTGCCACACACGATCACGAAGTCGCACATGGGACCCGCAACACCAATTAGGTCCATTTGGTAGGGCAAGATGCTATGAATCGACCGGTCTAGACACTCCACACAACAACTGCCAGTCCGTCGCTGAAGGTTTAGGCAGGCATGGCGCCGCAGGCTTCGACACTCTTGCGCAGTGTCGCGAAGCGCTTTCGCGACCACAAAGTGCTCTGCGTCTGAAGCACGTCGACAAGAAGCCATCTTTGGGCAGAGTCGCCGCCTCGTGCATCTGCATCATCTGCGCTGGAACATTCTGCTTCTTCGTCCCTCTCGGTTGCTTACCAGGTTCGGGCATTCCGAGGCTGCCTACATCTTTCTGCATCATCCATGCATTGTGCAGTTTGCAGACCTCTCAGATGCTCGGATGGCGGTGGCTGACGACACGTGTCGAATTCCGTTGCTCGAGGTGAGACGGAAGTAGAATTCAGCCGGCTGGGTCATCGTCCTGGCGATCTGAACTCAATCCCATCTGGGCATTCTGGGCCTTCATGAATTCTATCCGTTCGCGATGTATGAGTCGAAAGCATCGGATTTTGCGTGACGAGCGTCCTGTCCCGACTGGGGCTGTGAGGCTTTGAGCATGCCATTCCTGGGTTGCATGGCATCAGGCAGATGATGCAACCAGGACAAGAAGAATCCTCATCACGTATGCTGCGAGTCTCTCTTCGCGGGTCTTCCGTACCTCTCGCTCGATCCGGAAGCACCTCGGCGGCACACATCTGCATGTGATCCTCTGCTTGTGACATCACATATGCCTGGATTGCAGTTGTTCAATTTCCTCACTGATGGACTGCAGGCACTTGTTGTAGGCCTCCGAAATCCGTGACGCATGACACTTTCGGCTACCCATGCCACTCACCCGTCACAAAACACTTGCCTCATCCAGCTGAGGATTAGGTTTGGCAACGTCCCGCAGTCTCCTGCCGTGGCCTTGAAGCATGGACTGACAAGTCGGCCGGGCGGAGCTGTTTTTCCTGCACCCGGCCTGACGGTCTGGAGTGAAACGTCGTCCTGCGACCCAGGACCCACTTCTTCCACTGCCCAGAGCAACAGCGACTCGAGAGCCTTGCTACGTCCTGGGCTGATCGGAGAGCTTGCGATTGAGTTGCGGTGCGAGATTTCCGCCTGAAGACCTTGTTGGCAAGTGACACAATAGGGTCCTAATGCGGGATCATGTTTTGCCACAGCTGTGCCCACTGCAATCGCCTGGAGCCACCTCGGAGGCTGCTAGACCTTTGGCTCCAATGGGGTGCAAACCACCGAGCCTTGCAAGTGTTTTGCATGCCTTAGCAGCCTAGCATGGCATGGCAATGAGGCTTGCGCAGGCGCTGCCTCACCCAAACGAGGGGTGAATCGTTAAAGCCACGCGTCACTTCGAGTGCTTCATGGCAGGGTGCCCTGCCTCTCAACAAAGGTTGACGACCTGCACTGCATATTTAGAGGCCGCTGAATGCAGAAGGGCCGCCCTGTGCTGTTGGACATCGCTGAGGATGCGCACATCAACGATTTTCCGATGCGATGACTGTCAGCTGAGGAGGCTCTCGGTGTAGCCTGGCGAGACTTGCAAACCCAATACAGGAAAGGGCTATCGCCCGGCCGGCCATCGCCTTCCTGCGTTCGGCTGGCGAGTCAGCCGGCCGCCAGGTCCGCGCTGACAGCGGGAGTTCCGGCCTGGACGTACCGCGGACGTGACAACGTGACAGCGGCTTCCCACGGGGCTGCTGGGCTCAGGGCACTTCGGTCCCACCAGTGTCTGGCTCTGCCGCCACGCTCACCTCCGGTTGGCCACCCAAGTATAAGATTTGAGGCTTTCAGGCTTTCAGGCGCAGGCTGTCTCGTGAGCCTCGTTGTCTCCACTGCCCCCGGTGCAAGCATCGCCTGAAGCACTGAGCCAAGAAGAGCCACGGCCAGTTTTCTCCCCCGGCCTGGCAGCTCCGGAATGCTCATCCCCAAAGGAATACCACCACGAGGACGCGGGCTCCTTTCAGCCACGCCCCAGGCCCCAGGCACACTGTAGGGGTGCGCGAAGTGCAGCCGCGGGGCGGTGGAGGAACGTCCGTCTCAGAACCGTAGGGCAAAGGGGGCGCGGAATGGAACCGCATCACCTGCAGCCAGGAGTACAATGTCGAACTGAAAACGCTGACGTACGCTGATGCTGATACCGGGGTTCTTAAGCCACCAAGCAGCCTTTGACGAGGGTGCCAAATCGCTTTCTGTGCCATAGGGAGCACGAACTCCAACCCTCGAAAGAGTTGGGGGTGGGCGTGCCGTGAACCTCAGCAAGTCGTGTTTACACGCCGGAATGCAGCAGCAACAGCCATTGTGGCACCTGCCCCAGCCATCCTTCTTTGTGGTGTTTCCAGGCAAAGGCTCCCAAGGTCCAGGGCTGCGAGAGCACCGCTCCTCGCCGGGCTGTCAACATGGTGGGCAAGCCTTTCCCCTATCCGCAAACTGCACGTTACGACTCACAAAGCGGCAGTCATAACAGAATCGTTTTCCATGTAGCTGCGTGTAAACTTTGTCCCCATCAGTGGGCCTGGAACCGACAATAAACGCAGCACAACCGCGATCGACGCACCGAACGTTGATATAGAACTCGTTCTGCTAAACGAAACCCAAACACGATCCATGCAGCCCAAGCCCCTTACAGTCGGCTGACCATGGGAAAATTCATGAGTGCCCGTCAAACCCAGCCCAGCAGTGACAAGATCCTGACAAGACCAGACAACTAGCACTTCAGATTTGCTTTTGCCGATTGTCCTGAAGTCGTCCCGGAGTGTGGTCGAAGCATTATGTGGGGTACTGCCCCCACACAGTATGCTTTTGCAGTGCCGAGATCTTGTGAAAATGCACACGAGCAAGCGAAAGTCGGCACTCATGTTGGTTTTATTCGAAAACCGCTTAGAACCGCAGGTCAGATAAGTCAGGACAAGCCATTCCACAAGTAACCATGTCTGCACAGACGCGGAGCGCGGAACGATCGACGGCACGTCAGTTCAATTAAACACTTAAAACCAATCCCCGTGTAGCCGCATGCGGTTTTGCTTTTGCAAGAACAACTGCCCTAAACACACCGCGACGGGTCTTGTTTGGCGCACAGCAGGGCGTGGATTCAAGGCATTTAGCACTCGAGACACGCGCCGGGCTGGGATGTCCGAAGCCGGCTGCTGGCCGAGTATGCCCGAGGTATGTCGAGCGTTCATTTTGGAAGCCCATGAAGCCCCCACCACCCGAAATCGTACAGAACGTTCATCTTCAAAACACATTCACTAACCTATGTAACTGCACACACGATGAGATTGGATTTTCCAGGGCGGCTGCTGGCCGAATAGCGCCGAAATCCACGTGCCGAGCATTCATCTTGGAAGCCATTACCACTTGAATGAAGCCCAACTTCACGTGCCGAGTGTTGACTTTCCCAAGTGTCTTGGTGCGCTGTTGAGATTCACACCACCCATGGTGATGCTGGAAACGGCTAAAGCCACGTCGCGCGACAGAAGTCACGTCAAAGATTTCAAAGCACCACGTTGATGCTCGATTTGACGCGGCATCGCTGTGGAATCAACACAAAGCTGAACCCGAAGCCCGCAAATGGTCTGCATTCACCACGCCCCACAAGTCGGTCCTGGGCTCCCTGACTGCGGCGACCTCGCCGTTTCAGACCCAGGGGATCCTCGCAAACATTCAACAAACATCCACCTTTGCGGAGCAATACATATATGATGCAACAACCATGAAGACCATCTATCCCTCACCTCATTCGCGGATGCTGCAGACTTCAAGCCATGGGCCTGAGAGAACGAAACCATGCATCAACAGTTCATTCTGCAGGGCGGGCACATCCTTCCTGGTCTAACGACGAGGGTGCAATGAAACCATGCTTTGCGACAACGAGGTTCCTTGTCAGCAAGCCGCCGAAGCACAGGGGGCTGTGGGGATAGCAGCTTTCTGCTGTCCTCACGTTCCGTTTCGCCATGCATCCCATTCATCTGGTGTCCAAGTAGACATCTTGGATCGTATGATTTCCGGAACGCGATCGAGAAAAGAAAAGAACCAAGTAAACATTCATGAGCAGGCATCAGGGAGGTCGAATCAAGTAAGACTGCAGACAAAGGATAATAAGCGCTTGGATCACTTCGCAATCAAGCGGCTACGGCTACGCCCGGCCCTTTGACAAAATGCCGGTCGTGAACACTCAGGACACTCCCTGACGGAGTACAATCACACTCTGTTGACAATTACTTTAACCTTCGACATGCCAGGTTTGTGACTTGGCCTGGTTGCCAGTCTCTTTGCAGGTACGTCCAGGTGATCAGCCTGGATATCCAAGAGAAGCATCGTTGGCAGTGGACTCTTGAGTGGGCCACTGCCCCCTGCTTTAAACGGACAACTCTTTGCTCTCAGATGTGTGCACGCACACAGCGCGCACTCACACACCCTAAAAGTCTGCGCAGAGCTTGTTCCCATCTTCTTCCTTTGAGCTTGCGGCAAGCGCACCGCCGCCGTCTCCGGCTTTGGGAGAGAGGTGTCTCAGCACTGCTTTATTCAGTTCACGGACATGGAGATGCAATGTTCTGGGGCGCGAGCCGCTTCTCCTTTCCGCGTCGGCATTTGGGAAAGCCCTCTGCTGCCTCCTCTGCAGTGTCATGACGAGTTTGAGGTTTGACTCAACTCTTGCCAGGACTTTGGCCTCCCCTGAGGGGTTTTCTTCCAGCCCCTCTGGACTCGTGACCTGAGGCGAGTAGCTTGAAACTACTTCTCCTGGGCCATAAGCGTCCACTGCCTGCATCTGCATCCCACGGACTGCGCCCACGCTTTGCTGCTGTGTTGCACGACGGCTCGGCCGTGCTGGGAAACGCAGTGTATCCTGGCCGATCTAGAGGCACAAAGGGCCAGGGCTAGAGCGACGACTTGACAAGTTGACGGCCTCGCCCTCGCTTAGACTTCCATCCAAGCAAGACCTCGTCTTGGCAGCTGATGCCACACATCGCCCCCAAAAGTATGCCTTAACCAGCCTACACGGCTCCTCGAGGCTGAAGTAGGGGATTGCAGTGTCATGATCAGAACAGAAAGGCCGGACTCCAAGAGGAGCATTGCAGGAAGTATGCCAATTCTGGAGCCCTTTTTTGAGCCTATTTGAGCCTTAACCTAGCAATGCCTGGCCCATCAAAACTGCCTGCTCTGGAGGTGGCATGTCTTGAGCTGACATGCAGCTGCTGAAGTCTGTTAGAGGCCCTGTGTCAAAATACCTAGAGTACCTATTTGTTCGTGCGGGCCACCCGACCCTCTTCCAGCCTCCGAAATTCTTCTCGCACTGAATGTGCAGCTGGACTTGCAGGAAGCTGCGCTGCATGCTGCTGTGACAGTAAAAAATGAACACTGCGACCCTGGACGAGGATAGGGCTTAGAGGATTACAGCCGCAGAATCCGGCACAGAATGCTACAGGTAGCAAGAAACCGAATCAAGAGATATTCACCGCCGCTCGAAAGAAGCCGACCTCAAAGTCTCAACTCTGCGAGGGGCCAGTGCCCGACAGGGCAGTCGGCTACAGTCGGCTTCAGTGTTACAGCACAAAAGAATCCTTCCGTCTCGTTTACGCAGGCGTTCTTGTCTGTGTCGAGTCGAGGGAAAGCAGAGGGCAAGGCAGAAACGCCAGGTGCACACGCGTTCAGAGACGGCGGGTTGGGAGAACTCGGCCGCGGTTGCGGCATTTTGAAAGAGCGGCCCTCTCAATTTATATAATGAAGCGCTCGATTGTACAATATAGTACAGTTCCTGTCAATTTGTGTCTTGGCATATCGCCGTTCCCGGAATGCCGCAGCTTGCTAAATGCGGTCTTCGCTCAAGTTCCGCAGATGTTCGAACAGCTTTGCTGCACCAGTGGCATCCAGTTTCCGTGTTTTGATCTTCGTTTAGGAACTGTTCGGCGTTTTTTGGACTTCGTTGTTTGCCTTCGGCTATCCACACGCGATGCTACCGCACGGCAGGTAAGGTCAGCACTTCACTCCAGCACTTCGTCGATGTGCCTTTATTACGGCGCCGTGGTAACAAGCGTCAGAGGCCGTGAGGCCGGTGTGCAGGTGGCTGCTGGTGCTCAGTGCACTGAGCAGCTGACCGCATCGTTGGACAGTGCCCGCGTAGGCCGTGGACTTCGGCAAGGCGACGTGCTCAAGCTGTGCCTGTCACGTCCAAGGCACGAGCGCAGGAGCATGAAAGCATGGCAAGTCTTTTGCAGTGACGAGGGATCAGCCTTAGAGCTTGCCAGGCTTCCTGCAAGTGTGGAGGCTCCCCGTGGCTCATCCTGGTCGGCAAAAAGCACGAGAGAGCGAGATAGAGAGAGAGAGAGAGAGAGAGAGAGAGAGAGAGAGAGCGCCTCCTTTGCGAACCAACCTCGGACTGTAGCTGCATGGGGTTCGGCCTCAAGCGCTGCGCTCAAGAAGGCTTGCACTAGGCTTGTTGAGTGTTTCAGACCCTGTACGACCAGGACAGAGGCCCATGATGCAGTCGAGCGGGTCGACGTGTGAGGCCGCTCGCAGTCACCTCTGCCTGGCCCCATACCTCTACATGTCAAGCTGAGGCATTTCCGGCGAGCTTTGCCTTGGGTACCTCAACAGCACCTCTTGGAGAGGCTGGCTGGAACTCCCTCGTGTCGGCCTAGCCCGGTATCGTCATCAGTCTGCTTCATCCCACACACCCACATGCTTCTCTGCCTTTGGACAGAGCGACGTTGCGCCAGACTCGCGGCGCCCCGGACTGCGAGGGCTTCTTTCCACAACCGTTGGCGGTTCTGTGAAACGCCTCTGAAAGGTTGGGATTGCTGTGCAACAGCGCAGAACTTGGGGCCTGCCTCCGCCCATGAGTGAAGTAATTTGCCAAATTGTCGCCCGTGGTCTGGCGGCAGAGCCTTGAGCTGTTTATGTGCTGCCACACGCCGTTTTACTTCAGCAGTCACAACCGGGCTATGCACCCTCTCGCCAGCATGCCGCTCGCGCTGGCAGCGCTGGTCGGCGCCTTTAACGGAAACACAAGCCGAATAGCCGGGCAGTCTCCCTCTCGGTTGAGCCTTGGTGGCGACTCCAGCTGGTCGAACCTGTCTCGAGTCTTGAGTGTCAAAAAGCAGCTCGCTCGCTTGGCTATGCCTGCACAAGCCCAGCCTGCACTGCATGGGGCAAGCCTTCAAATTGATTCTGATGCAAACTAGAAGCTTGCTCTCCTTTATCTCTTCCAAAAGCCCTGCATGTTGCCTTGATGTATGGGCAGTGCTGGAGATGTCGCACTTTGACGTGGGCCAGAGACCCAGCTGGATGCCAAAGGGGCCAAAGGTCTTGGTGCTGCTGCCTGGTGTAAGCAGAGGACTTCGATGAGATGGATTCGAGAGACACGCAAATGGCAGGGCTCGCCAGGACCCGACGAGGAACAGTCACGGTGTGGATGGGAACGGGTCCTGCGGTACATCATACCACAGCTCGAACTCCAGGATGCATGTTAGGAAAACCTTGTTGGCAGAATCCGTCTGAAAGCTTCCGCATGCCGCCCGGGCAAACCATTTACCACTGGTTACCCTGCAGGAACATTTCCCTGAAAGCATAGGGTCAAGTCACAAGTGCTGAACACCCAATGCAAAGCTTTCATGCTGCTTTCCCCATCAGGTTTTGCTTCAAAAATTTGGGCGGTCTAATTAATGCGTTTTTTTTGGGCTGGGGGGATTTTTTGGGGGCGGGGCTGTGCTGTTTGCTGATGGTCAATCTTAAGGCAGCCACGACTTGAAGCCCCCACCCAAACCCAAAACCCTGGCCCTGAAGACCTCAACTACGCATGCTTAAGCCTAAAACTTGAAGCCCCCACCCAAGCCCTAAAACCCTGGCCCTGAAGACCTCAACTAGGCATACTTAAGCCTAACACCTGAAGCCCCCACCCAAACCCTAAAACCCTGGCCCTGAAAACCTAAACTAGGCATACTTAAGCCTAAAACCCAAACCCTCGACCCCCTCCCTGAACTGAAACCCAACCCTAAAACACTCTCTAAACCCGAAGACCCACCTCCTGAAGCCCAGACCCACCTATTCCTTGCTTTCCTAAGGTTACAGGATAGGAATCTCAAGGTTTTGTAGGCTTACTAAGGGGCTAAGAAGCGATTTCCTTGCTTGCTGAAGGGTTAAGAAGGCTTTCCTAAGGTTTTCTAGGCTTACTAATTAAGGGGTTAGGAAGGGCTTTCCTAAGGTTCAGGACAGGAATCTCAAGGTTTTCGAGGCTTTCTAAGGGGCTAAGAAGGGTTTTCCTTGCTTGCTGAAGGGTTAAGAAGGCTTTCCTAAGGTTTTCTAGGCTTACTAATTAAGGGGTTAGGAAGGGCTTTCCTAAGGTTCAGGACAGGAATCTCAAGGTTTTCTAGGCTTACTAAGGGGAGTAGGAGGGCTTTCCTAAGGTTACAGGATAGGAATCTCAAGGTTTTCGAAGCTTTCTAAGGGGTTCGGCAGGGCTTTCCTAAGGTTCAGGACAGGAATCTCAAGGTTTTCTAGGCTTTCTAAGGGGTTTGAGGCTTACTAAGGGGTGAGGGAGGCTCGGGTTCTAGGTGGGGTTTACCTAAGGTTTGGGTCTTGGCACTGAGAACTCCAACCTTTTTCTGAGGCACGGCAGGCTCAAGTCGAAGGTCGAACCTGAGCAGAATGGTGCTCTTAGTCTTTCTGTGCAGGTCTCAAGACATTCTGAGGATACCCTGCGAAAGTGAATTAAAACCTCAGCTTGATGGACCCTGAGGTAGGGTGATCTAGGTTAATCAGTGGCTCTTTGACTACTTAGGGGCATTTAGTTGCTTAGTTAACCACCTAATTAGGAAAACACTAATTAAACTAATTAAAGACACTAAACCCGAGCTTTAAACACCAACCTTAAAAGGAGGCCCTCAGGTGCAAGTGCTGAGGATCCAAAAGCAGGAAGCTCAGGCTTCCTTAGGGGCCGCCTTGGCACCCTTCTTGGGAGCAGCCTTCGGCTCAGGCTTAGCCTCCTCAGTCGGCTCAGCTGCCTCAGTCGCAGTTCCTGGCCGGGGGCAGGAGCTCTTAGGCTTAGGCTAGAAACCTAAGGAAAACTGCAGACCCCAAGCCAGCCTGAAGCCTCGGCTGAGGGCTCCTCCTTCTTCTCAGGCTTGCCTGGCAGGTTTAATTAGGGGTTTAAGTTTAAGGTTTCATTAGGGCTTAGGGCCGAAGCCAGCCTGAAGAGCTGCCTGCAGCCTCTGAGGGTGTTTCCTCAGGGATGACCTTCATCGTCTTGGGAGCATCCTTAGGCTCCTCCTCAGCTCCTGCAAAGAAACTCAGGCTGGTTTGCTTCCTCTAGGAACTTGACTCAGACGAGAGAAAGAGACTGAAGGCATATCATATATTTTATTATTGAGATTTGTAAGTAATTATAATTAATTAATTACAAGGCATAATTATGTATAATCAACTCCTGAGGGTCGGTGGTCTACTTAATGCGTTTTTTTTCTGGCCCGGCTGGAGTTCTCAGGATCTGCCTGAGATTTCCCGATGCGTGGCCGGCTTCAGGTTTGTCTGATTCCTGAGGACGAAACCATACCGGGAGGCCTCCTGAGGCATCCTTTACAGGTTCCGGGCCACCCGGCTCTCAGGCTTCCCCTTAAATTTCCCGATGCGTGGCCGGTTTCAGGTTTGTCTGATTCCTGAGCACGAAACCATACCGGGAAGCCTCCCTAGGCATCCTTTCAAGGTCCTCAGACACTTTGTCTCAGAACACCACAGCAAAAGGTCTCCCTCCCCGAATGTCTCTGAGGTATGATCCTCAGGGTCGCTGGTCCAATTAATGCGTTTTTTTCTGGCCCGGCTGGAATTCTCAGGATCTGCCTGAGATTTCCCGATGCGTGGCCGGCTTCAGGTTTGTCTGATTCCTGAGGACGAAACCATACCGGGAGGGCAACTTAGGCATCCTTTCCGGGTTCCGGGCCACCCGGCTCTTAGGACAGCCCTGAGATTTCCCGAAACGTGGCCGGTTCAGGTTTGTCTGATTCCTGAGGACGAAACCATACCGGGAGGCCTCCTGAGGCATCCTTTCAAGGTCCTCAGACACTTTGTCTCAGAACACCACAGCAAAAGGTCTCCCTCCCCGAATGTCTCTGAGGTAATTATGATCCTCGGGGTCGCTGGTCTAATTAATGCGTTTTTTTTCGGTCCCTAATCCTTATCCCCCCTCAGAATCGGCGGCGGCGGCGGCTGTCGCATGCGTGAACTCAGGGGCCCTCTCAGACAGACTCTAATTAATGAAGCAAGTCCTCTGAAGTGCAGTCCTGCATGCTTAGCATCCTCCTTAGCAAACATCTTGTCAGTGTCGAAGGTTCCTGAAGAAGCAGGACTGAGTGCAGAGAAGGGAGCTTCCTCAGAGCAGCAAGAGAGGCAGCTGTCCTGCAGCGACGTAAGGCACCATCTGAGCTGCCCAGGCTTCTCTGAGGACCCAGTACCTCAGGGCCTTGTTGGGATCGCAGCTGAGGCAGCCAGTCTGCCACCGACATCGGCTGCAGATGCAAGGAGAATTCCTGAGGGAGAGTATGAACTGGTAGGACTTCTTGCTGAGGTCCCTCCAGGTGAACATCTTCAGGGCCTTCTTGTAAGCCTCTTCAGCAGCCTTAGTGTTCTTGTTCTCTAGGTGTTTGTGTGCCTCAGCAAAGAGCTTGTTCTTCTCAGCAGCAGCTTTGGTTCGCTCCTTAAGGGCATCTGCCTTTGCCTTCTCTAAGGCAATCGCTTGCATCAGGAGGGTTTTCTCAGCTGCCAACCGCTTAGTGAGGTAGATGAGCCGATCCTTCCAGATCTGCTGAAGCTCTGAGGGATGCTGAAGCAGCCACTCGCCTCGCTTCAACCTGAGGCTCTGCCCAATGTAGCTGAGGCAATAGAAGCCACATTGGTTGAAGTCTTTTGCCTGAGTGCAAAAGTTGCTGCGGGACTGAGGCAGCTTGAAGTTCTCGTCTAAGATCTTGCCGATCCTGAGCTGCTGCTTTGCCTGAGCCTCGCCTTGCTCGCTGAGGGAGTCGAAAACACTCCATCTGAAGTCTTTCGTCTGCTCAGGGGAAGCCTTCTCAGCCCTGAGGATTGTCCAATGGCCTGAGGCAAAGACCGGCACTAAGACAGTGCAGAAAAGTCTGGCCTGCTCTCTCAGGGCTCCTTCCCTGATTTCAGGGCGATCCTCAGGGAACCTCCAAAGCATGTAAGGAATCCCTGGGTCCACCACTGAGAAGGAATCTGAGTCCTCAGGGTAGGGCAGTCCGGCCTTTTCAAAGGCCCACCTCAGGTACTGCCACCCAAGCCAGAGGCTTTGGTCCTCAAGAAGCTTTGTCTTAGCAGTCACTGAGATCAAAGTGTGCCCCTCCTCCTCATCCGGAGTGGTTCTCTCAGGATAGGCACTGATGCTGACCAGCATCTCCTTGAGCTGAGACTTGTTCAGTGTAGTCTGCTAAGGCCACACGAAGCAGACGTCTTGTCTGAGACTCGCGAGCGCAAAATTTTCCTGAGTGAGAATCTGACCGCCCTTGTCAAAGATGACCTGATACCGGCCCTCAGGGAAGGCCTTCGTGACGAGACCCACCTTAGCGAAGTTCGTGGCTCCTGCTGCCTCATGAAGGACAACCACATCCTTGTTCAGGTAGGGGTCGCCCCCGTCCGCCTTAGGCTTCGTCTCAGTCTTCGCCTTCTTCTTAGGCTGGGCTGACTCCTGCTCAGCTTTCTCCGCCTCCTCAGCTTTCTTCGCCTCAGCCAGAACCTTCTTGGCGTCCTTCTCAGCCTCCGCCTTAGCCAGGGTCTTGATGGCAGCCTTCTTCTTCTTAGAGGGCTTCTCGCTCTTCTTCTTAGAGGGCTTGGCGGAAGCTGAGAGCTTGGTCTTGGAATTCTTCTTCTTCTTCTCAGTCTTCTCCGCCTCAACCACCGCCGTCTCAGGGTCGGCCTCGGGCACCTCCTCAGGCTTCGCCGGCTTCTTTTTGGATGAGGCTTTCAGCTTAGCAGCCAGGGCGGGCTTCTTCTTAGGCTGAGCCTTGTCCTTGTCCTTGTGCACGTGAGGGACAACTGACTTCAGGAGGTCCTCAAGGGAATGGTCCTCAAGCTTCTCAGACATCTTCTGAACGTGCTTCTTAGCAAGGGCCGCCTTCAGGTCTTTCTCCTCAGACTTCTTCTGAAACTTGATCCTTTGCCTCTTCCTCCTCTGGCGGTACTGCTCATCCTGAGCAGTTGCCCTCCGGTGAGCCTCGAGGAGCTGAGGTGCGACTCTGAGGGAGAGGCTGTTGGCGGCCTCAAGGGCGAGGTCATCCTGAAACTCATCTTCGATCTCAGGGCCATCCTCTAAGTCGTTCTCGCCATCCTCAGCTTGGCTGTAGTAGTCACACCTGATGAGATCCTTGAGCTCTGAGGCTGTGTCGCTGAGGTGCCACTGTGCCTCTAAGGGCTCGCCATCCTTCTGAAGCCACCTCAAGCGATCCTGGAACCACTCGGAGGGCAGCCTCTTAGAGCCCATGCCGAGGTTCATGTCCTTAGCCCACTTCTGGCTAAGGAGCTGCTCAAGCTTGCCAGTCTTAGGATTCGGTCTGTAGGCCAGAATCCCATTCCTCACGGCTGCTCTGAGGACCCACTGATCATTCTCATTCTTAGTGCTCATCTGCGCCTGAGCAGCAACGACGGCTTTGACGATCTCTAAGGCACCCACCTTAAAGACTGAGATGCCTTTGGTCTGCTTCTGAAACTCCGTTCTCAGGTCCTTCAGCTCCTTGCGGACAAAGGCCTTGAACCTAATTCGTGGTTGTGGTAATTAACTAGGATAAAAAATCTAAATGTTTAGTCCTTAATGGGTTTAACTAAGTACCCATAAACATCTAAAAAGGTACAGAACTATGACAAAGGAACTGCTTAGAGAAGTCTGAGTCCGTGATCTGAAGGAAGGAGGTGCACTTAGCGGTAACACAGCAGCCGATTTGCTGTGCTAAGGCCATCTTCTGAACGGAGGAGTCTGAGAAAACTGCACTGAAGCAGTCCCTCTGCCAGAGGGAGCAGGCATGCTCTCTGGCCTGAGCCTCAAGCACCCAGCCTAAGATCACAGCAGCCTGCCTCCTTGAAGCCTGAGCAGGAGAAGCTTGAGAGCCAACCCAGAAGGAAGACAGGCAAACAGCCTGAGAACAAGCCTCAGAGCGAGCTTCAGCACCCCGGCAGCCTGACCCTCATAGGCCATGCAAATGACGAGAGGTTCAGAATCACCTACGAGGCCCGACAGCTCCTCAGAAACGTCTACGGGGATCCTGAGACGCCTGTCCTGGGTGTGGTGGGGAAGGGCCTCTTAGTCGTGCCCGGGCAGTGGGCACGCCTGAGCAACATTTCCGCAGATGGCAAATTCATTGAGGCCGAGCAGTTCAAAGTTGGCTCTAAGACCATCCTGAGAGGACAAGGTACCTCAGCCGGGAGAATCCTTGAGTACTATGGCAAGGTCAGGCAGAGTCACCCTGAGCTGGTGGAGCACCTTGAGATTCTTGAGATCATGTCTCAGCCTGCCGCGAATGTGGACTCAAGAGGCCCTGAGCTGACTTGGTGGCTCCTAAGTTTTGCCTCATCAGCACCTTACAGCAGCCTAAGAATCGGGCCACCTTACAGAATCGGGCCTGGCTCGATCCTTAGGCACACGAAGAAGGAGCAGATCCTGACTGCCTTAGAGTCTCCCAGCACCTTTTCATCTCAGGTCCCGTGGCCCCTGAGATCATGTCTCAGCTTCGCGACCTCACCGGCTCAGTGGACTTTGCACCCGAGCAGCAGTGCTTCTTCAGTGTTTTTTGCCTTTTCTCAGGTGTTCTCTTAGTTCTGCACCATCCAAGGCCTCAGCCTACTTCATCGTGCTGAGCATCGTCATCTTGCAGTTCCTGAGGAAGCCTCTCAACCGCCTAGAGTATGTCTCAGAGCAGCATAAGGCAAGTGCTGAGAGCCTCAGCTATCTGGGCAGCCTTGAGTGGTACGCCGAATCTCAGGAGCCAGCTGAGTTCACGCACGGGGTTCTGAGCTAACTATTTATTTGATTAGCTAATTAATCATGTAAACCTTAATTAACTAATTAATTAATTAATTCATTAGTTAATTAATTAATTAGTTAATTAATTATTTAATTAATTAACTAATTAATTAGTTAGTTAATTAATTAATTAATTAGTTAATTAATTAATTAATTAATTTTTATTAATTAATTAATTAAATAATTAAATAAATAAATAATTAATTAATTAATTAAGCCCTCCCCCTGTGCTTCCCTAATTAATTAAGTCTTTTTGCCCTGCAGGAGAACTGGCTGAGTGGGGTTTCTGAGCGACTCTCCTACATCGAGCTGAGCAACTTGGCCCGCACTGAGGTTTCTAGCTGGCTTCGGCACTTTAGTCGTTTTGTGCTCGCACACCTAAGGGCTCGACCGCCTGGCCGGCGATCCTTTTGACATCCTCAGGCATGTCACTCAGGACCGTCAGGACCCAGAGAGCCTCCTTCCCTGAGTAATTAATCAATCCTCACTCTGCTCCTCTCCGGCCAGGACCTCGCCGACTTCGACGAGAGAGCCGGCGGCGCCATGATATTCATGGAGAGGCTCCTCAGGCAACGAGTGTCCCTCAGCAACTGCTCGTACCTGAGAGATCCTTGCTTGCACTTAGTCAGCAACTGAGTACTTCCTGAGTGCAACTAATGACAGACTCACCGCTTCAGGCTTACCTCCCTGAGACCGCGGTTTTCACGGCTGAGTGGGACATGATCCTCAGAACTGCCCAAATCAGCCTGACGTCTGAGATCTTTTACTACAGGACACTCTTGGTGCCTGAGATGCACTGAAGTTTTCCTTCGGTTCCTGAGTCTCTGGGTTCAGTTGTGCTCCTTCTGCTGTTCCAGCTAAGGTGACCCATGGTAAGACGGCCACTGAGGAGCAGCTTGAGGAGCACACTCGTATCCTCACAAACATTAGCAGGCCTGAGGTGCAGAAATGCATGTTCCACCCTGAGTCTTGGCTGTAAATACCTAAGGCACATCCGTGAAGTCGGCAAGTTCGTTTCTGCCTGAGTAATTAATAATTCATGTGCCACATCTAGTCCAATTATTAGTTAATTAACCAACTAAGCAATTAATTACTTGAGAATGAATGAATGAACGAATGAATGAATGAATGAATGAATGAACCTTCCAAGCCTGTCGGTATGGTTTCGTGCTCACAAATCAGACAAATCTGAACCGGCCACGTTTCGAGAAATCTCAGGGCTGTCCTAAGAGCCGGGTGGCCCGGAACCCGGAAAGGATGCCTAAGTTGCCCTCCCGGTATGGTTTCGTCCTCAGGAATCAGACAAACCTGAACCGGCCACGGATCGGGAATGTCAGGGCTGTCCTAAGAGCCGGGTGGCCCGGACCCCGGAAAGGATGCCTAAGTTGCCTTCCCGGTATGGTTTCGTCCTCAGGAATCAGACAAACCTGAACCGGCCACGTTTCGGGAAATCTCAGGGCTGTCCTAAGAGCCGGGTGGCCCGGAACCCGGAAAGGATGCCTAAGTTGCCCTCCCGGTATGGTTTCGTCCTCAGGAATCAGACAAACCTGAACCGGCCACGTTTCGGGAAATCTGCGGGGAATCGTGAGAGCCGGTTGGCCCGGCCTCTTAGGAAAGGAGCCAGGCTCCTGTTTCCTCAGCAGCCGGGGCCCGGCGAAAACGCATTAATTAGACCACCGCTTCTGAAGCAGCCACGGATCGAGAATCTGAGGGCTGTCCTAAGGGCCGGGTGGCCCGGGACCCGGAAAGGATGCCTAATTCGTCCTCAGGAATCAGACAAACCTGAACCGGCCACGTCTCGGGAAATCTCAGGGCTGTCCTAAGAGCCGTGGCCCCGCAAAGGATGCCTAAGTTGCCCTCCCGGTATGGTTTCGTCCTCAGGAATCAGACAAACCTGAACCGGCCACGTTTCGGGAAATCTCAGGGCTGTCCTAAGAGCCGGGTGGCCCGGAACCCGGAAAGGATGCCTAAGTTGCCTTCCCGGTATGGTTTCGTCCTCAGGAATCAGACAAACCTGAACCGGCCACGTTTCGGGAAATCTGCGGGGAATCGTGAGAGCCGGTTGGCCACGGATCGGGAATCTGACGGGTTCCGGGCCACCCGGCTCTTAGGACAGCCCTGAGATTTCCCGAGACGTGGCCGGTTCAGGTTTGTCTGATTCCTGAGGACGAAACCATACCGGGAAAGCAACTTGGGCATCCTTTGCGGGTTCCGGCCACCCGGCTCTTAGGACAGCCCTCAGATTCCCGATCCGTGGCCGCTTCAGAAGCGGTGGTCTAATTAATGCGTTTTTGCCGGGGGCCCCGGCTGCTGAGGAAACAGGAGCCTGGCTCCTTTCCTAAGAGGCCGGGCCAACCGGCTCTCACGATTCCCCGCAGATTTCCCGAAACGTGGCCGGTTCAGGTTTGTCTGATTCCTGAGGCCGAAACCATACCGGGAAGGCAACTTAGGCATCCTTTCCGGGTTCCGGGCCAACCGGCTCTCACGATTCCCCGCAGATTTCCCGAAGCGTGGCCGGTTCAGGTTTGTTTGATTCCTGAGGACGAAACCATACCGGGAGGGCAACTTAGGCATCCTTTCCGGGTTCCGGGCCACCCGGCTCTTAGGACAGCCCTGAGATTTCCCGAAACGTGGCCGGTTCAGGTTTGTCTGACTCCTGAGGACGAAACCATACCGGGAGGGCAACTTAGGCATCCTTTCCGGGTTCCGGGCCACCGGCTCTTAGGACAGCCCTGAGATTTCCCGAAACGTGGCCGGTTCAGGTTTGTCTGATTCCTGAGGACGAAACCATACCGGGAGGGCACCTTAGGCATCCTTTCCGGGTTCCGGGCCACCCGGCTCTTAGGACAGCCCCGAGATTCCCGATCCGTGGCCAGTTCAGGTTTGTCTGATTCGAGGACGAACCACCTTAGGCATCCTTTCCGGGTTCCGGGCCACCCGGCTCTTAGGACAGCCCAAGTTGCCCTCCCGGTAGTATGGTTTCGTCCTCAGGAATCAGACAAACCTGAACCGGCCACGTTTCGGGAAATCTGCGGGGAATCGTAAGAGCCGGGTGGCCCGGAACCCGGAAAGGATGCCTAAGTTGCCCTCCCGGTTTCGTCCTCAGGAATCAGACAAACCTGAACCGGCCACGTCTCGGGAAGTCTCAGGGCTGTCCTAAGAGCCGGGTGGCCCGGAACCGGGAAAGGATGCCCAAGTTGCCCTCCCGGTATGGTTTCGTCCTCAGGAATCAGACAAACCTGAACCGGCCACGTTTCGGGAAATCTCAGGGCTGTCCCAAGAGCCGGGTGGCCCGGAACCCGGAAAGGATGCCTAAGGTGCCCTCCCGGTATGGTTTCGTGCTCCTAAATCAGACAAAACTGAATCGATCGCCTGGCAAGCCTTCCGGTATGGTTTCGTGCTCTGCAATCAGACCGAATCAATAATAAATAATTCCTAATATATACTTTTTAAGTGAATGATTGTCTTAGCAAAAGCAGAGAATGCTAATTAGCTTGCAATTGCAGGACCCCTGAGGGTTGTCAGCCAGCTCCGACTCAGAGGGGGTGGTGAGGGGGAAGAGGAAGAAGAGGAAGTTCCTGAGCACGACCCTCCTTTGGAGAACGAGACTGAGGAAGTACCTGAGGAACAAGTAGTTGAGAAGCTTGGCGAAGCTCAGACTCCTACTCCTAAGAGAAAGCTGCAGTTCGGCATGGACCGGTTCTTCGGCTCACCTGAGACGAAATCCGAAGCTAAGCCTGTGTCTGAGACGAGCCTCACACCTCAGACAAGGCAAGGCCCACTTTCAGAAAGAGACAGCTCAGGGACCAGCTCATCATTGATCAGCTGGCTGAGGAAGTAGCTGAGCTGCAAGCCAAGATGCCTCAGGCCAACCCCTTAGAAGTCTTCAGGAACAGACAGAAGATGGTTCAGTCCATGAAGAGAAACTTCCCTAAGAGGGCCAGAGCTCCTAAGAAGGAGCTCACAGCCAGTAAGAAGCTCCTCATCATCAAACGCCTTAAGGAGGCAAGGTCAGAGTACGACCCTCAGACCTTCTGGAAGCTCATGAGAATGGAGACCGGCATGAGGAAAGAGCAGCTCAGTGACCTCCTCAGAAGAGAAGAGGAGATTGCGAAACTCAGCAAGCTGCCTGTCGGCCCCACTAAGACAAGCAATAAGAGGAGGAAGAGGGCCCCAGGTGCGGGCCGCCCTCCACCTTATCCTGAGGTCCGTCAGAGACTCCAAGACTGGCTTGAGGTGCAGCGGGCCTGCGGTGTCACTGTGACTCAGGAAAACCTGGCCACTCAGAGTATCGTGTTCCTCAAGGAGTCAGCTGAGGAGCTCCTGACTCGTGCTTCCACAGACAAGAGCCTCAGTGTGCTTCAGGTGACCAAGCTTAAGGTGGAAGCTGAGGACAGAAACCTCAGGGCCCGCGACCTCTTAGCGAACCATGAGTACATGAGGACCTGGACCAGGCGACTGCTTGGGTGGCTTGGTGCTAAGAACCTCAGCACTGAGTTGGTGCAACCCCTGACCGAGACGGAGGCCTCAGTCAGGTGCAACCTCACCTGGCAGGAGTTCGACCACAAACTGTGGCTGTCCTCGTGTTCCTCAGTCCTAAGGCCTTTTGCGACAACAGGGCCAACCTGGTTATCGGCTTTAGCGACCAGGTGCCACTCTGGGCTAAGGATCCTGGTCGTAGGGCGGTATTCAGCCGGTCTGAGATCCATTCTAAGGAGCACAAGCAGGATTTTTCTGAGGTGAGACAGGCGATCGCTGAGGTCACCAACACTCAGCAAGCAGCAGACCTCTTAGTCGGCCCCATCAGGAAAAGCAAGCCCCAGCCCCTGAGACGAGCCAGCACAGGAAGCATAAGCAGCACCAGCATCAAAAGGGCCCTCAGCTTTGACTCTGCCTCCACAACACCCCGCCTCGCCTCAGAGATTTGCCGGCTTTGCAGGAGGACCTCTCGTTGAGCAGCCTGAGCAGCCTTCCCAGCCTGAGCAGCCTCCCCAGCCTGAGCAGCCACCGTCTCTGCTGGAGGAAAAAGACCTGAAGCCGAGCGATCTCCTCAGTTCTATAAACTAGCGTTGTGCATGCTAGCGGTATAGCCGGAGGCTTTAAAGAGAGCATACGAAGCGAAGACGAAGCTTTTACCGGAATGCCGAAAAAGTCCCACAGCTCCGAGACTAGGTTCAAACACAAAGGACGGTTGCTGGGTGGACTAATGCCCCCCCATGCAACTGAACAACGGCATAACGCTTCTGATAACCGCACATGTGCAGCAAACAAATGACAGCAATAACGAACGCCATTCGTGGTGCATGTATGCCGTGAGGGCAAACGCGGGGTTTAGAGACAGATTTGCAGAGCGCGGTCTATGCCCGTCGATATATGCAAACGCACATAAGATTAATAATGCCCAAAGAAAAAAACACTGGTGATGGCATGACCGTCAGGAAACGGTGACAAGCAGTAGCCGAAATATCTCCCATCCGCGTAAAGCACAGATAGTGATATAACATAGCCCAGGACAACAGCAGAAACGCCGATTTGCGGAGGGAGATGGCGTGCACATTCGGGTGAAACCTACAGCCTGCCCCGGAGGCTCCGCGGATTTCTTATTTCGAGGTCTTGATTTTTCTTTATGGCCAGTGCCTGTGAGACGTGGTGAAACGCCCAAAGTTGGAACAACGCTTCAAACCACCTTATTACAGTAAATATGACGACTTTTGGGCGGGAGGGTGAGGAAAACAAAAGTGACATCATGCTAGCATGCACAACTATGAGCCAAAATGTTGCACGAAAACATAGTTTATAA